GTCGGTGTTCTGGTGCGTGGAACTGGATTTCTTCTCTCTGGAGTGCAATGGAGTGTCCAGTAGTGAGTTTTGAGATGGGTCTATGTGTTAGGTGTGGCTTTGGGCAGCCTATATGTTGACACTCAGGGTTATGTTCCTGCATTGCTGGAGAATTTGCGTGGTATGTTTTGCTCTGGAACTTATTGGCTCTTGGGTGGTGGTTGGTTTCAGTGTAGGTATGGAGGCTTTTGGATGGTCTCTTATTACTTAATGTTCTGTACAGTCAGGAGTTTTCTGGTGTTCTCAGGTTTTGGGCTTAAGTCCCCTGCCTCTGGATTTCAGTCTTATCCTTCCAGTAGTCTCAGGACTTCTCCAACTATACAGCACTGATAATAAAACTTCTAGGTTAATGGTGAAAAGATTCTCCACTATGAGAGACAACCAGAGAGGTTCACAGAGTTACATGAAGAAGAGGAAAGGGAGGAGAGAGATAGAGATGAGCAGGAGAAAAAGGGGGACTCAAGAGGAGAGAGACAGATCTACGCAGTTGTCTGTTCCCAAAGTGTTCTCTGTAGCCCAGACACCCACAGAGATTCACAGAATTGGATTGGGAAGAGAAAGGGAAGGGAGGAAATAGAGGTGATTTGAGGGAGAAAACAGAGTCAAAAGTGGGAGAGAGTAATCAGCACACTCCTGAGTAAAAATGGGTACTGAGTATTGGATTCTTAAATGTCCAATATTGATATCAAATACTGAAAAACAAAGATTAAAAATCTAGAGTAGAGGTTAGACTCTTAAAAATACAATATTAAAAACAAAAACACAAAAATTTTAGAAATATATATGGAGTTCAGTTTAAAAAATAGGGCCTCTTTTTTTTTTTTTTGCAAGGTTATAGTGAAATGAAAATGAAAATTAAGGAGTAATAGAGCACTTTAAAAGAAAATAAGATAAAAAAAGAAAAAAGAAAAAAAATTTTCTAATTAAAAAAAATAGTAAAAATATATGCAAATGAAAATGAAAGTTAAGGAGTAATGGAGGAGTAATCAGGAATTTTAAAAGAAAATAAAAGAGAAAAAATTTAAAAAGAAAAGAAAAAAAATTTTTTAATTAAAAAAATAATAATAAAAATAAAAATATATCTAGGAATTTCACTGGAGCTGTTGCGGTCAGTGTGGGTTTGGTTCAGTTTCAGATAGCTCCTCATTCCAGCTTACACTTCTCGATATCTATAGGCCCCTTCTGGTGTGGTCGGTGTTAACTACAGGGATTTTAATCTGTTGCACCGGTCACTTCTGAAGAGGTTCCCTTTGTTTATTTGGCTTCTGTTTGCCGGTCTCTTCAGTGTCTAATTTCCGCCCTGACACAGGTGGGCGGAGGTGGTCTCTCGTTCAGGTTCACTTGTTCAGTCGCACTGCGGGGAGGGCGGGGCACTGCAGAGAGATATAGCTGGCATGTGTGGATAGCACTCACAGTGTTCCGGCCACACTGGGTTTGCCCCCGCTCACGTGTGTGTGCTTTCCCCGTCTACACTGCTCAGGCTCCCGGCTACTCTATATGGAGTGGGCCTGCGTTGCGTGCGGTTCCAGTTTTCGGGTATTCCACAAAAGCACGGACTTGGTTAGGCCTGCGTTTTGTGCCTTCCCCGGCCTGAGCAGCTCAGGCCGCCAGAAGCTTGACGGGCGCACTCTCCCCGGCTGCGGTGCGCCTTCTCCCCTCCGCGGTCCCAGCCTTAGTTTCCGCACGCACGCGCCAGTTGGGTGCGTGTGCCTTGTGTCTGTTCTTGGGAGTTGGCCTCTAGCCGTGACCCTCCTAGCGGATGCCAACCATCCAGAATCTCAGGAAGTCTTTGGTTAGAAACTGGAGGCCTGTTTGCAGTGTGGTAGGGGATGCCGTCTTTGGGGCCAAGTTTGCCCCTTTCCCCTCCCCCCCGCCTCCTGCCTCCAGCAGGGGATGGGCCGGTCCACAGCCGGCTAGCTCTTCTCTGGAATTGCTCAGTCCCTTTGCTCTGCGAATGGCCAGCAGTGTGTTTGGGCCGGTTAATTTTCTGTCTCTCTTTTGCTATCCCACAGTTTAAGTTGGTAACTCACAAAAGCTCCCTCCGATTGCCCTCAGGGCACTCAGGCCGGGTCCTCACCCTAAGCAATGCTGCCCGCTCCTCTCCATTCCACCCCCACTTGCTGGTGGCGGATGCGGGCGTCTGGGGGTACTTTTCTGCTGGGAGTTGCTTTTAGGCATGTACTCTGTGGGTGTTATTTATTTTTCCTCCCAGTTAGGTTGCCCTCCGAGATTTGAAAACTTCCCCCAGACCCGCCAGTGTGAGGGTTTCCTGGTGTTTGGAAACTTCCTCTATTAAGACTCCCTTCCCGGGACGGGTCTCCGTCCCTAGCTCTTTTGTCTCTCTTTTTATCTTTTATATTTTGTCCTACCTTCTTTCAAAGATGATGGGCTGCTTTTCTGGGCGCCTGATGTCTTCTGCTAGCGGTCAGAAGTTGTTTTGTGAAGTTTGCTCAGTGTTCAAATATTCTTTTGATGAATTTTAGGGGAGAAAGTGGTCTCCCCGTCCTATTCCTCCGGCATCTTAGCTCCCCCCCCGCCAATTTGCTATGTTTAAACAGTGGGAAGAGATGAGCTTTCAACTCACCACAGTGCCATTTTAAATATCCAACATTTCTAGTTAAAGTGTTTGTGATTTGATACTTCCTTGTGGGTCTTTAAATTCCTATCTCCACCTCCCTCAAATAGATCCTAGTTAGATTAACAGTAGGAAACATCAGGTGAAATAAAACACATGAACTCTGGAATCAGTAGAATCAGACAGAATTGGGTCCCCATTCCTAGTTTGTTATTTTGTGTTTGCGGATTTACCACTGGACTCATCATTGAACTATGTAATCTTTCTCAATATCAGTGTCCATAGCTGTCTAGTGAGGACAGAAATGAAACCTCTTAAATTGTTATAAACCTTAATATACAACTTACTACATTTAGTACACTCTCTATGTGTGAGATTTAGTACATTTTCCTATAGCAGTTAAGGTCAACTTGTATTTGGAGAACTATTTAAGTGTTTTTTAATGCTACCCATGTCATGTACAAAAATATTGTCTTGCTATGGTGTACACCTGAAAACTAATAAAATATTGTCAGTCAGTTAAACTTCAATTTGAGAAGAGTGGGGAGGGAGAGAAACTAGGGTGAGGAAGAGGAACAGGAGGAGGAAGAAAAAGATAGATTGCCTTGAGGGGAGGGGAGATAAACGATAAAGAGTGGACACAGCAGGCAGGTGAGTGCAAAGGGTAGAGAAACAATGGTGGTTTTGTAAGTGAAAAAATCAAGGTTTGGTTCTCACGGTGTCCGCAAGCACACAATGACACACGGGCCTTACTTGGGAGGCGAGTTCAGGACCATCAGAGGACCCAGAAAGCTGAAGCTGAAAAAGAAGCCATCATTTTCATCCATGGCTGAAAAGTACCATGGTCCTACGACATGACATTCAGAAATCCTATAAAAACATTTAAAAACTCTCTTACCGTTAAAAATGTAGAGAACATAAAAGGAGGGAAAGTATGGTGGATGGATGGTAAAGAATCTGCCTGCAATGCAGAAGACCTGGGTTTGATTCCTGGGTCAGAAAGATCCCCTGGAGAAGGGAATGACAGTTCACTCCAGTATTCCTGCCTGGAGAATCCCCATGGACAGAGGAGTCTGGAGGGCTACAGTCCATGGGGTCACAAAGAGTCAGACATCACCGAGCAACTAACACACACACATGTAATAGGAGCTATAAACTCTTTTCCTCTTTGTCTTAACAGGAGTGGCCAGATTATATGTAAACCAAATATTCTAAAAAGTTCAAAGTGATATGGTATTTGTTTGAGAATTAGATGTATCTTACAGACTAATTTGGATTCTTGATGTTTAGTTTCCTCTTTCATTCTGCTTGCAACCCAGATGATAACTAAAAAGAGATACAACAAATGTTTACAGTTTAGTTTATCCTCTCGTGTTCTTCATTAACTTACTGTGGGTGTTCTTTTAAAAGGCCAAGGTTCACGGTTCTGTTTTTTAATTGCAATTCACTCTTTTCCACTTCTTCTAGGAGCTTCAGCTTTATCATTGCTGTGAGATTTACAGCGCTTCCTTCCATCGTCAGCTTGCTAATAGGCAGTGGTTGAACTCCCTGGAGTCTCAGCTAGGAAATATGAGCAGTATGTAATTGCTATGGCTGGAATCGCATTCCACTTCAGAAGCTTCTTAACAGCATTCTCAGATGTGTGAATATACATTAGTGACCCAAGGGGATTACTCCCTGGCACCAAGTTTACCTTTATGAGGGGCCTGGATGATGAGACCTTCCCTCCCATAAGCAGAAGGTAAGGAGAGGCAAAGGGCTCTGATGAATTCAGAAGAAAATGTGTGGGAAAAGAAATTGCTTTTAAAAGACAGAAATTCAAAAGAAAAATTACAAAATTTTGCCTTGGGGTATGTAAGTTTAGTATTTATATTGAGTAAATAGCTAACATGTTTATCAAAACATCCAAGGGCAATAAGGCTAAGTAACATGACTTGATCTTCCTGTGTCTGTTTATGTGGATGGTAATTGACAGTAACCAACACTGAACTTTCACTTCCTGTTCACTGTAACTAGGACAGACAATACTGGGAGGATGATTCAGTTGCTCCAGCAGTAACTGCCCTTTGAAGAAAAAGCTTCCTGATTTCACCATGTCTCTTTTTAAATATTTCTGTCCTTCCTGCCCACCCCCAACACCTCTTCAGCGTCTCTTTTTGCAACATCTCTAACCACTGTCCCCTAGAGGCCATATCAATCAGAAAGGCTACCCTTCAGTTTTTAGAGCAAAGAAGCATTTTTTTTGCATGGGTGTGCCTATTTCACAGAAGAGGTTCACAGGTTTTCTTGCATAAACAATGACTGCACTATCACCTATGCACAATCAGTGTGAAAGTCTACTGTATACTCAAGCAATATGTACAGTAAAAGGATAAACAAAGAGAAAAGTATAGGGTTAAATTGAAAAAATCCATGATATCAGCAAGGTGAGGAAAGAGTTCATTCAAAATATCAGACTCTGGAAAGTATCTAGCCACATTGTATAGCCTTTCACAACTCCTACTAGAAATCTTTGGTTCTAGTAATAAATACACTATTTATTGTTAGTACAACAAATACAGGATTTAATAACATATGGTTTAAAATTATAAATTTTGAATGTATATATGAATGAGTGAATGAGTAAGGATAATTTAATTAGAATTAGAAATTTCCTAGGCCAAAAATAATGGCTCATATAGTTCACGAACATTTGGGTATTCAGATTTCATCCATAAGAGTGTGTTTCACAACCCTGGCTATACATTAGAATCACCTAGGGAGCTTTTAAAAAATGCTGCCTGAGTCCCACCTCCAGAAATGCTGATTTAATTGGTCTGTGGTGGGCCTATGCATGGGTATTTATTGCAAACTCCCCAGGTGATTCTAATATGCAGCCATGGTTAAGAATCACACCATTACAGCCTCATAGGTAGGTTTTTGGAATAACTTGCAGATTATAGGAAAGAATATCTCTCACTGATCTCTTAGGGTGAGGGAGCTGTGAAAGAGATAGAGAAATAGGGAAGGATGTGGAGAAGGAGAAAGAAGGAAAGAGAAAGGAAGGAAGAAAGGGAGTAAGAAAAGTAAATTCTGGCTATTCCACATTAATATTGAGTTCTTACTGGATATCTGTTAAATATTGACCCTATAATAATGAATATAAACAGACTATTGTGGAGCTTATAGGCTATTGACAGAAAACAGACATAAGTAAAACAGAAATGCCTATAAAATTATAAACAAAATCTTGAAACAAAAGGTACATAGTGCTATAGGAAAGAGTTTTTCTCTACTGTTTAGGAGGCAGGGGTTTCTCACTGAAGTGATTTTGAACTGAGATCCTAGTTACAAGAAAAAATGAGGGAATGAAGTGATGTAAGACAGAGGGAGGGGCTTCCCTGGTAGCTCAGCTGGTAAAGAATCCCTCTGCAATTCAGGAGACCCTGGTTCAATTCTTGGGTCACAAAGATCCCCTGGAGAAGGGATAGGCTACCCAGTACAGTGTCCTTGGGCTTTCCTGGTGGCTCAGATGGTAAAGAATCTGCCCGCAATGAGAGACCTGTGATCAAACCCTGGGTTGGGAAGATCCCCTGGAGGAGGGCATGGCAACCCACTCCAATATTCTTGCCTGGAGAATCCCCAGTGACAGAGGAGCCTGGTGGGCTACAGTCCATGGGGTCACAAAGAGTCTGACATGACCGAAAAACTAAGTACAGCAAGACAGAGGGGACTGCATGTGCAAAGCTCCAAGTCTCCGCTCTTGACTGAAAGCAAACCGGTAAGGTTCCTTTATAGAGACTTTCAGTCTCTCCACTGGAGGATACAGAGCTTTATTCATCCTTACATCCATTGCAAAGCTTGGTAGAATATCTTCCACATAGTAGGTTACCCTAATAACTGAAGTAAGGAGTCCGTGTGTAAGAGTAATTTCCCAGAGGTGGTTAATTTCACCAATACTCACTCTCATATCTCAGGACAATGGGAAGCACAAGATGAGAATAAAAAGAACCATTGTAGTCAACTTTCCAGGAGCGCTCCCAACCACATATGCGCCTTCAAACAAGGCTCAGTCACAGTCAATTCAACCGATACATTTGTGAGTGAGTTTCCTTGTTGCAGCCAGTGCTCATTCTCTATATGCCAAGTCCTTGATTTTCATGTTTTCCCTCATTTTACAGTTCCTATAGTTTCAGCGTCCTAAAACTGTTAAACTTTTTATTTTTTATCATGCAGAAGTCAACTATGGAACCTACTTTAAAACTGAAAATGTAGAATTGCATGTCAAAATATATTTTAAATATTCTCCAATGCTCTTGCTTTCTGAAATGTTTTAGGTAGATGAAAAAAGTATTTATATGCTAAGGTATGCATATGCTAAGTTATAGCATCCAGTCCCATCACTTCATGGCAAATAGATGGGGAAAAGTAGAAGCAGTGACAGAATTTCTTTTCTGGGGCTCCAAAAGCTCTGTGGATGATGACTACAGACATGAAACTAAGAGACATTGGCTCCTTGGAAAGAAAGCTATGACAAATGTAGACAACATATTAAAAAGCAAAGACATCATTTTTTTTGACAAAGGTCCATATAATCAAAGCTATAGTTTTTCCAATAGTCATATACAGTTATGAGAGTTGGACCATAAAGAATGTTGAGTGCTGAAGAATTGATGCTTTTAAATTGTGGTGCTGGAGAAGACTCTTGAAATCCCCTTGGACTGCAAGGAGATAAAAACCAGTCAATACTAAAGGAAATCAACTCTGAATATTTCCTGGAAGGACTGATGCTGAAACTGATGCTCCAAAATTTTGGCCACCTGATGCAAAGAGCCGATTCATTGGAAAAGAACCGGAAGCTGGGAAAGATTGAAGGTGAAAGGAGAAGAGCGTGGCAGAGGATGAGTTGGTTAGATGGTGTCATTGACCCAGTGGACATGAATTTGAGCAGACTCTGGGTATAGTGAAGGACAGGGATGCCTGGCGAGTTGCAGTTCATGGGGTTGCAAAGAGTAGATAGGACACAACTTAGTGACTGAACAACAACAACAAAAATACATAAACGATTTAATAGGAAATAAAACAGAAACTTCTAGTATATTCATTATTAAGTATATAGAATATTTTTATAGAATATAGGATAGGCACTTCTGAATTATGAGTAATACTCAAGTATGTTTACTATCAATCAAAAAGAGGAAAGGAAAGGAAAGAAGGGAAAAAATAGATATTTGTAGGATACAAGAAAGAAAAGTATGTTTTTGTGTATATTCAAATACATGTGGAATTTTATGAAAAAGTGATATATATATTTGGGTATAATTCTGCTGCTTATATTCTTCTACTCTGAAGTAAACTAAATTATATGGATCTAGGTTAGAAGGTACTGGAACAAGTTACCAGGAATTGAACCTGTTCTGCCACCCTTACCTTTGGAAATTAATTTCATGTAGGTTTCAATTTGAAAAAATGACATAATAATAATACCTACTACAAAGTGTTCTTCAGAAAACCAAATTCTGTTTCAAATAGAGAAGTTAGGATAGCACCTGAATCAATAGTGGCACAAGCATCTAAAACTTGTATAAGAATATTCTGCAGTGTAAGGAATTATTATTCACTTTTAGTTGCCAACTATATTATGGTTATGTTTTTGTTTAAAGAGTATGTGTCTTTTAGAAATTTATTAATATATATATAGATTAAATAATATAATGTCTCAGATTCACATGAAAATAATCTGGAGGGACGCAGTAGATAATCAGATATATTACTGAAGTTAGAACATACATACATGGGTTTCAAAAAAAAAGAATATACATACATGGGTTTCATTTTACTATTCTATTTATTTTTGTATGAATTTCAAAAAATTCATAATACAAAAATAGCCAATAAGATTAATTGATTGAACTGCACTTTCTTGTGCTTTAATTCTTGTTGCTAGTCTCTGGAAAGCCCAGCTCTCAAGTAGACAGCTACCTTGCCTGTATGTCCACAGCATCAGTGACTGCCAAGATGTCCAAAGTTTCCTGAAAGGTGAAGAAAATGCTTGATTCTGGAGCACCCTCCTAATAGCAAGTAGGTTTATTCCCCCTCCCTGTACATACAAGTAAAGGAAAATTGTATGCAAATAGCATATATTATATAAGAATGAACTGATTTTTCAGTAAATATGAGTAAGAACAATACTTTTTTGAGGCTCAAATATTCAAAAGCCTAGTGGATTTACTGTAGAGTTGTTTGTATAGTTGTATAAACTCTGTATAGTTGGATGAAGCAAATCTATATATGATAAGCAGGGAGGAATAAGGCAATTTCAGGATAAAATTATATCAGAGTAAAGAAAATATGCTAAATGTTGGCCATATGACAGATTTTCCATGACTATAAAAATGTGAATACTTTTCCAAACTTTTGCAAGCCCACCCTTATGGAAAACCTTTCTAAGTAACAGGATATGCTCTATGAGAATCAGAGGGAAATGCATATATAACGCTGAACTTCATTTAGCCTAACTAAATCCCACATAATTGATAGAAGGCAGTTTTCAAGAAATCTCAAAATAAATAAATTTATCTCAAGATAAAAAAGTATACATGCATTTGCTCCACTTAAACCTAATTTTGGCAGCCTTCCTTATTGGTTAGGTTTTCATTATAATTATCAGAAAAAGATTGCTCTTAATCTTAGTAATTATTTTTCATTTAACTCATTGTTAGATCATTGTGATGAAGGCAAATGTTTGACTCCAAATGAGTTTTTATGATAAGGAGGTATTGTACTTCAGAGTAATGTTGTAAAATGACTTTGGTAACGGATGTGCTTTAATTAGACCTACTCTTACAAATGCCTTAAAGAAGCCTAAATTTGTTTGGTTTTATCCTTTAAAAATATATGACTTACTGACATCCAGATACTGGTAATTAAATATAGACCCGGTGTAAACATGAGAAGCCATAAATCATAGTATCTTTCCAAAACTAGCATAGCGCACCATGTAGGCAATTCAGAAAACCTGAAGCACCTTAAGCTTGCTCAAAAAAGCAAATAAAACCCCGCTCATTGTCTTTGGATTTTATTGTTTTTGTTGTGTGGTGATTAAGAAAAGTAATGGAGACAAACTTCTGATTCATGAAAACTGAGGGGAAAAAGCCCTCTGGTTTAACCTCAGAAGAACTTGTTCTGACTTATCATCTAATCCTGATGATCAGACTATTGAAAAGGAGTCACCTTCAGTTAAAAAGGAAAAGGTTGTACTGAACAATGTCATTTTTTAAAATAAATAACATTACAGAGCATGTGCTTTCAGCTGAATTTACTGATATGCATGAACAGAATTCATGGCATTTTTCTACTTTAACGACTATTTGCATACAGTTTGATTTATGTGCAAAGAGTACGTTTAGAAACCACGCAGGTTATCACTTTTTTTTAACCTTACATTCTTAAGTTTATGGCAAAAAATTTAGCATCCACAAGTATTTTCCTCTAATTTTAAGCGTATGCTAACAATATATGAAAGTAAGTAAAATATGTCCAGATTAAGTCTCCAGAAAAAAATGCTTCAGGTTTTACAGTTTGGGGATATATTTGCTTTTTTTTTTCTTGAAATGTACAAAAAGCCCTCCTTAGCTCACATGGAATTATTATCGGATGTTACTGACCATTGGTGATAACCCTTGACTTTTGTCATGCTGTCAAGTGGTAGGCTGAAAAAACAAATAGATTGTAATACAATTGCACACTTTTCAGCTGGATTTAGACAGTATTAGTGTTAGGTTACATTGCATTCATCATGATGACACAAACACGAATGATGTAGTATAGGAAAAGACACTTGACCCAACTTCTGAACTAAGAGTCATTCTCCTTGCCTGGGTGCTTCTTGATCCGTGCTGCCTGACATGCTAATCAAACCTGAGCATACAAGTGCATCAAATGTCTCAAACTACATTTCAAACTTTTTGTATCTTACATTTTAAATTGTATTTTATTTTGTATTTCATTGTTACATTTTTTTTCTTTGTGTACATATCTTCTGATATGAATTGCTGTTTCAGTAGCCCCTGAAATCAAAGTATGCTCTTATAGTAGAAGGAAAAATTGGCCAAAATGTATTTTACATTTGTCATAAGCATATTTTAAAGGATAGGGAAAGAGAGAAGGAGATGTAGTACAATAAAAGAGACAAAAATTATGACATAGCATTTAGGTCCATATGAGTCTTGAAGAAAATATGTTAAGACTGATATGAGGCAAAATGTTAGTGCTCTTTGCTTTTTCTCATAGATGAAGTACATTTTATAAGTTTTATGAAGCTCTCAATACAGGAAGGAAAATATGTAATATATTCTTGATGTTTTAAAACTCAGATTTAGGAATAGTATTTTTAAGGAAATTTTGCAAAGGAATTGAATAGATATATCATTAAGGACTATGTACGCCTATGATCACTAGTTGATACAAGCAGATAGAAATTTTAAGGTGTAAGTTTAACCAACTGTCCTCATTATAGCCCAAAGGATTATTGTACAGTTTTGCAATATGATTAGCATAAGTATTTAGTTTTAGTGCTAAATCAATGTGACAGAAGAATATATTTAATAGATATGAACTCTATGAGGTTACTAATGGTATGATTATTGATCAGAGGTTATTCATTTGTTTCATTTTAAACCTATAATTTTTCCTCCCTATTTCTCCAAGGTGTGAATAATTTTTAAGTTTTGATATATAGTGTGGGTTATAAAGGCAGTATGTATACCAGTGTTTTTTATAAATCCCAGAAAATAGTTTCCATCTACAACCTTGATATTGGTAAGCCCTTTCCTCAGAAAATATGTTTTTTTTTTTTGTTCCAATCCCTAGTGGAGAATAACTCTCTAGAATGATGAATTTTTTATTAGGGGTCAAAAGATCATAAATAAAATTTAAAATATATTAAATTTAAAACAAAGCAGGGAACCACTTTCTTGCTTTAAACATTTTAAATTTTATTGAGGGAAATTCTCATTTACTACTTAGATATTTTACAAACATAAGTATTATACTACTTATTAACAAAGTAGTATAAGGAGTCATGGAGGGATTGGGGGCAGGAGGAAAAGGGGACAACAGAGGATGAGAGGGCTGGCTGGCATCACTGACTCAATGGACATGAGTTTGAGTAAGTTCCGGGAGTTGGTGATGGACAGGGAGGCCTGGCGTGCTGCAATTCATGGGGTCTCAAAGAGTCGGACACGAATGAGCGACTGAACTGAACTGAACTGAATTCTAATGAAGATATATTATCATTAACATTTCTATGTTGTGAATTCTAGACTAGAATTATAGTGAGTTAAATGGTGGCAGTCAAAAGATATATTGTGTTCTAATCCCAGAACCAGAGAGTGTGTTCTTCTTTGAAATAAAAAGTCTTTGCAGATGCTACTAAATTAAGGATCTCAAAATTAAAAGGTTATGCATTTATCGGGATGGGTCCTAAATCCAGTGATAAGTGTTCTTAGAAGAGACACACAAAGGAAAGACATACAGGGAGATGGAGAAAACCCAGGTGAAGATAGAGTCAGAAATCATGGTTCAGCAGCCACAAATGAAGGAATGTCAGTGGCATCAGAAGCTGGAAGAGGCATGGAAGCATTGTCCCCTAGAGCCTTTTCAGGGAACTTGGGTCTGCTGATACCTCAGTTTCACACTTCTGACCTCTGCATGCTGTTGTTACAAGCCACCTACTTTACGGTGATGTATTTTGGCTATAGGTGCTGTGCTATGCTCAGTCATGTTCCACTCTTTGCGGCCCCATGGAAAGTAGCCCGCCAGGCTCCTCTCTCCTTGGAATTTCCCAGGCAGGAATACTGGAGCAGGTTGTCATTTCCTCCTCCAGGTTGTCATTTGTTCCAGATCTTCCCAACCTAGGGATCAAACCCGCGTCTCTTAGCAGGTGATTTCTTTACCACTAGCGCCACCTGGGAAGCCCAAATTTATTTTGGTAGCCCTAGAAAACAAATATGCCTACTTCAGTGTTCTTGCCTGGAGAATCCTAGGGACAGCGGAGCCTGGTGGGCTGCCGTCTATGGGGTCGCAGAGAGTCAGACACGACTGAAGGGACTTAGCAGCAGCAGCAGGAAACTAATATAGAATCCAAGATTACAAATTAAAGAAAACACACCCTTCAGTTGTGATTACAGACCGTTAAATAGGCACAGGCACTACCAAATGCAGAAAGCCAGACACGTAGGAGGTGCTCAATAAATCTGTGTGCTAAGTGGCATTAACTTCTCTTTTAATACCACAATTCATGTAATGTAAAACATGTAAAGGACAAAAAATAAAGCAAAGATTTATCCCATGGGTTTTTAAAAATTTCATTAATGTGATAGGGAAGCAAATTTTTAATATTTCTAATGTTGGCATGGAATCAACATGAATCAAAAAGCCTGAATGAGAACCTCACTCCTGTCCTTTGTGAAAATACATTGTGCAATGTGTATCTTTTTCATGAAGTGAAAGTTTCATTTGAAATTATTTGTGATTTATTAAAACTTGCTTTTGCCACAAAACTATGAATGAAACAGCACAAGAGATTTAGACTGTTGCTATGTAATATGAGATGCATACAAGAGAAACAAGTATTGAATATTTCATATATGGTATGAAGCACAATGAGCTTCCCAGGCGGGACTAGTGGTAAAGAACCCGTTTATGCAGGAAACATAAGACAGGTGGATTCAAGCCCTGGGATAGGAAGATCCCTTGGAGGAGGGCATGGCAACCCACTCTAGTATTCTTGCTGGAGAATCCCATGGACAGAGGAGCCTAGCAGGCTATAGTCCATGGGGTTGAAAAGGGCCAGAGCAACTTAGCGCACACACATGAAGCACAGTAAAAGAGCAACCATGAATCCCATTCCCCCCTTCATTTGAGACTTAGAACATTAAGAATAAGGTAGTTTTTACCTTGTTGTCTTTCGTGGATTTATAACCCTTCCTTTTCCATCAACTCCACCTGTTTTATCTTTCTTTTGCTTCAGCAAAAAATAAATAACCAACTTAATGACTTAGAACAA